TGTTTTTTAAATTTTCAACAACATGAGCATTCCCTGTTCAATGTTCCCATCTTCTGTGCCTTGTTTGTCTGATGTTTTGCGTACATAGAAATCCACTCCACAGGCACCCATATATAGACCACAAAATGTGGCAGAAACAATACTGGTGATCAAACAGCAACACTATTGAATAAATAAATGTCTTCTTATCCCACCATGCGCATAATTATTTTTGAACTGGTCAGTAACTTCACTGGCTTCTTCAGGCAAATGCAGCTTTCATTCATTAAAAGCTCCTGGAATGTCACCAGCTGGAAGGAATGCCAATGCAGGCAAATAATGCATTTTTTTTTTTTAAGTTGGAGTCTCACTCTGTCACCCAGGCTGGTATGCAGTGGCATGATCACGGCCACCCCAGCGTTGACCTGTTGGGCTTAGGCAATCTTCTTTCTCAGACTTCAAAGTAGCTGGAACTACAGACGCACGTCACCAAGCCCAGCTAATTTTTGTGATTTATTATACAGACAAGGTCTCACCAGGTTGCCCAGACTGATCTCGAACCCCTGGGCTCAGGCAATCCCCTCGCCTCCGTCTCCCGAAGTGCTGGGATTACAGGCTAAGCCACCATCAATATTGTGCAACCGATCCACTTATCCGAATTTTCTGCCAAGTGCATTGGACTGGATGAAAAAACAAATGTTACTGGTAGCACCTTGAAATTCACTTTCAGAAGCCTTGATCACACCTATTTCCAAACCTGTCATTATGGTTTGGGGATTCAATTGAAATTTACTTTCTTCTGAATAAAGACAATAACAAAGTAAAGAACAAACAGCTCTCCTAACATGATACAACTGTCTTATGATTGTGATTTTCTGGATTTTAGACTTTGGAGATTTTGATCTTTCAGGATTTCAACATTTGGGATTATGATGTCCAGGATTGTGTCTTTGGGGATTATAATCTAAACCCATCCAAGATAAAGTGTTGGCAAGTTTGGTTTCTTCCGAGGTTTCTCTTTTTGGCCTGAAGATGGCTGCCTTCTTCTTGTGTCTTCACTTTGTTGTCCTTTTGTGTCTGTGTCTTAAACTCCTCTTAAAAAGACAAATCATATTGGATTAGGACCAATTCTAAGGAACCCATTTTAACTTCATTATATCTTTAAAAAAAAAAGCCCTTTCTCCAAAAACTGAGGTTAGGACTTTTACATATGAGTTTAGGGGGAATGCAATTTAGTCCGTATAAAGTCTGGTAGTTTTGTTTTGTTTTAACAGAAGCTATTCTTTTTTCCTTCTCTGATACCTGGTAATCACATGACGGCACAGCTCATAAATGTTCAGAGTACATAAGAATTATCAGAAATCTTCAGTTGAAGGGAAAGAGCCCTGGATTTGGAATCAGGAGGGCCTGAGCTCCACACATGAGTCATTCACTTAAGGGCACATTTAGTTTCTCTGAACCTCAGAGTCCTCATTTGTAAAAAGATATGAATATTATGTGCAATAATAGATACTGCATATCTGGCATATACTAAGTACATCTTATCAAATCGAGCATGCACTAAATTATAAGGTGAGTCACTGTGTTATTTGCACCAAAAAAGGCAAAACCATGCCAGGGGAGCTTTTAAAATTACTGATTAAGGAGGTCTACCCCCAGATTCATTGAATTTGAATCTCCTGGAATGAAGCTCAAAGACTGTCACTTTTTAAATTTCCCACTTTGTTCTGAGGTTGTGATAGGCTCAGAAGCCAGGAATTTCAGCATGCTGTCAGTCAATGTGCTGGAACAACCCAGATTTTAATTCTAAGCTACAATCTTTGGAGCTATTTATCAGTTTCTTACATATTCTATAGGAAGCCTGGATTTCAGCCTTTGCCAATGAAAACTCATTGTCTAAATTCTTTACATTTTCTAGCACATTCATTGAATTCCAGAAAATCTATCTTGAGCATTGTATAAAATAAATAATTTTGTAGAACATGTAAACCAAAACCTGTTCTAGTGGTGGGAATGTTGTAGCATTTTCTGTCTTGGTAGTCAGCTCTCTGATTCCTTTCCCAGACCATCACCCCAGGATGTCGAGTCCACCTCTGTCATGTATGTTTTGGAGATTCTAAATACACTGTCAACTCCTTGCATGCATTTTAAACCATTTTTGTCAAACTTTTGTAAAAATCTAGTTGAATCCTTTTAAAAATTATTTTTCTGAATATCTATGATTGAATTCTGAGTAGTAGTAACGCCATTATTAACAGGACAATGTGTCAAGATCGTGAGAGCTACTCTGGACTTCTTTTTTTTTTTTTTGAGTCGGAGTCTAACTCTGTCACCCAGGCTGGAGTGCAGTGGCACGCTCCCGGTCACTGCAGCCTTGACCTGCAATCCTTCCGCCTCAGTCTTCCAAGTAGCCAGAACTATAGGCGCACGTTACCACGCCTGGCTAATTCTTAATTTATTGTACAGATGAGATCTCGCCAAGTTGCCCAGGTGGATCTCTAACCCACGGGCTCGGGCAGTCCTCTTGCTTCGGCCTTCCAAAGTGCTGGGATTACAGGCTGAGCCACTGAGCCCAGCCACTGCTCTGGACTTCTTTACAGGTCTAGCATTCCACCTAACTACCACCTCCACCGCCTCATTCCATAGGCTTCACATCCACATTTATACGCTCCATGAGCTCAACCGAGTCCAATCCCCTGATCTCAGCTGAATAAACTTATGTGCTACCCCTTCACCCTCACCCTCAAGAAAGCAGGTGACTTGCCCAAGGTCACGTACAAGTTAGCCTATGGATGCTGAGCCTGTTCTATTCCCATATCACCGTCCCTTCCGCCTCTCATCCCTCCCACTCCTCATGATCTCACAGTCTGTTAATGACACGTCGAGGAGTCTTTATCAAAAACGGAGGACAACATGTCCCACCCAATGGAAAACTGCCCTGAATCGCACCCAGATCATTCACTGAGCCACACAGTTCCTGTTTTTATGCAGATTTTGTCTGAGCCTTGGCTAACTCCCAGGGAAGCACACATATCAGATCTGCTGTATATTGGCAGAACTTTGGCTTAGAACATATCTCAAATGCCTCCCATTGAACATTGGCAGCCTTGAAGAAACATGGCCAGGAAATTATTCCAGGATGCCTAATTGCTCGGTGGCACTTTACAAGGAGAAGCGGATGGCTTTCTCGCCCAAGCTCTTCCCTCTGTGCCCAGAAAAATGATTGCATTTCCCAGTATATGCTCTAAATTAGGAGAGGGCAGGCTCAGTGGCAGCATGAATCGAGGGAATGCCTTTACTGGGCAGGGCCCTCTTCCCAGCACACTGTGCATTTTGCCAAGTTCTTTCTCCTTTGGTTTTAAAACCTTTGTGTATTCCAAGAGAAATGTGGTCCATGTGTTTCTGATTCATTTACACTTAAATCATTAAAATGTTGTTCTGTGAGAGTTATTTGATGTGTGAGGAGTCTGTGAGTCTTCCTAATGGGAGTTTTAAAGGCTTTTTTTTCCCTGCCGTGACTGAAACAGAAAACAACATTTTGCTAAAACAGTGCCTGAGTTTAAACATATCCTCTAATCTTCGTATACTTGCACCCACATGATCAACCACAGCCTCTTGACAATACCAAGCTTGGTAAGGCTGATTTTTGAAAGTGGTAAAAGAGAAAATGGAGCGGAATCACACCACTGCTCTCCAAAATGTGCCAAAGGAGGTTATCTGAAGGTGGAAAATGTGAGTTTGCTGCTCTGTTGGCCCCCTCGCTGGTACTCCACTGGACAGTCAAAAAAGTATTTCCAAAAGCATAGTCTCATTTAAGCCTCACAGTACTCCCATTCTCCAAATGAGGGAACAGGATCAGACAAGCTATGTATTATGCCCCAAATGCACAGCTGGCTTAAGCAGAAAGGAAAGAATATGGCTATATTCTGATTCTGAGTCTACTGCTTTTTTCGAAATGACTCAAATTGAGTTTCTCTATACCTTGTGTGTGTGCATGTTGGAAATTCCATATGCATTAGAATTCATTAATGAGAAGTAGTGTAATACAGTGGCTAAGACCACAAATTCTCCCTCCATTATTTTCCAGCTGTGCAAATTGGGGAAAGTTACTTAATATTTCTGAGCAGCTTCCTCATCTGGAAAATAGGGATAATATTACTACTCATCTGTAGAAAATATAAAGATGACTGAAGAGAATTATTAATAAGTTAAGTGCTTAGAATAGTGCCTGACATAGTGCTCAATAACTATTAGCTACTATTGGTAGTAGCAGTAGGGAGTGATAAATAGCTGGATAATTTTGACAGGTTGGTATAATCTCTCTGAGCCTCAGTTTCCTCGTCTGCAAAATGAGTGTAATAGCAGGACCCTCACAAGTTTGTGAAAGTAATTGAGATGTTATTTGTGCCTAGCACTGTGTCTAACACAGAAAAAGTGCACAGTCAAGCCCATATTTTACATCTAGACATTTCTCTCCCTATTCAGCATTGGTTGTTATTGTGTGGAGGGGGTAATTTTCTTATTCTTCAGCTCAACTTGGATCCAGTGTTGGGTTCTCCATAAACCATAGGTATAGACACATATATAGGCCAAGGTCTTTCTACAACCAAGGAGTACAGGCATTTCTTGCTGTGATGGGCCCTTTCTAGGCAGGATGAGACCCCTGCACCTCTGAGTTGGTAAACGGTGCCACAAGTACTGCTTTTAAGTGGGGAAGAACAACTAGCCAACTACAGGACAGTGCTCCCTCCCATTCTGGGCCAGCAGCTCTGTTCACAGAAAAACCTGTAGTTGTCTGCAGAGGCTTTGGGATTTAGACCTAGAATTCCTTTTCCTTTCTATTGTCTCTATTTAATTGCTGTTCTTTTGCTGGTGTCCTGAAGAAGAGCAGAAAATTATAGTCATCAGGCAAGGGAGACAAGAGAAATTAGACTTTGTCCCCCTCTTCTCTCTCTCTCTCTCTCTCTCTCTCTCCACACACACACACACACACACACACACACACACACACACACACACACACACACAGAGTGATGCAAATACCTATCTGAGCCTCTTAGTTATTTTCTCTCAAGGACTGGAGTCAGGCACACAGGATAAAGACAGGAACTGACGGAGCAGATCTTTTAAGGAAGAAGACAGATTCTGTTCTGTCAGGTTCCTTTGAGTGTATGTAAGAGCAAGTCAAAGCAGAGAGAGAGGAGAGAGGAAAAGCCAGAGGGAGAGAGGGGGAGAGGGGATCTGTTGCAGGCAGGGGAAGGCGTGACCTGAATGGAGAATGCCAGCCAATTCCAGAGACACACAGGGACCTCAGAACAAAGATAAGGCATCGCTGACACCACACCGGGGACGAGCTCACAGACAAGTCGGGCCAGGAGGACCAAGACCAGGCGGCCAGGAGCACCCTAGGCAGAAAAATGAGGTGAGTGCCAGGGAAGGAGAGGGCACCATGCCCTTTTGGGGACGGTGTCAAGTAGCAGGGAGGGGCTGACCTTGTCTCTGGGAAGACTCACCTGATGTGCTGTGGGTGGTGATGAGGGGGGTTTCTCATCAGTTCTTGGAGCTTTGAGAAGGGAGTCATGAGCAAGCGGGGCGCCTTCCCTGGGACTCCGGAGACATGCAACTTGAAACGGGAGACTTTGTGCAAATCCTGCTCCAGACACAACTGAAGCTCAGATTTCTCCCTCTGCCAGCGCAGGGTGCTGCCTGCTGGCGAATGTGACTCTCCTCCTGTTGCCCACAAGGCTGAGTTTTCATTTTCCTTCTCTGCAAAAAAGCATTGATTTCTCTCTTCCAACACTTTGTGAGTTAGCTATGTGTTTGTGTGTTTATTTGCTCTGACCAGAAGAAAAACCAGCTTCCCACAGCTCGGCTCTGTGGTTGCTTAAACCTTCACAACTTTGCCAGTTAAACCTCAATTTAGAAAACTAAAAACCTGTCCCCATTTTATAGTTCCCTATAAATTTCTGCATTTTTCACTGAAATCAGAGGCAGCTGGTGGCATGAATCAGGCTATGAATTGCACCAAATGGCTTTTAAAGGGACACCACAATTTTTTTTTAAGGATCTTTTGGAGTTCTGAAACCTAAGACTTTAAATTCTAATTGGCTTTAAGTGCTCAACTTTTTTTTATTCCTCATCTTACTTGATGTTCCTTACCAGATATTTCTTACAAATTTCTTCTGCAAGTCTGAAAATCCAAACACCCTAGTAATTTTTTATTACTTGTAAGTGTTAATGCCATTAAAAACACATACAAAAAGACAAAAAACACTCTGTAGATGTGTAAAGTCCCTAAACACCTCTTTTCCCATTACTTTTCTTTTTAATTGGGAATATGTTTTTATTTGTTTTACTTTTACAAAGTTACCTAGCAACTTTGCTGGGTCTGTGGCCAATGAGGGGCTTCAGGCTGTGTTTTCTCTGACCTCTGGTTACCTGTGGTTCAGAAAGATAATCCGGTCCTTAAAGTTAATTCAGTCATTCTGTTTCTTTTAAATTCATTGTAATTTAAAACCTGCCATCAAAGTTAATTTTTTTCTCTTAAAAAAATGGAATTTAGGCCGGGAGCAGTGGTCATGTCCATAATCCCAGCACTTTGGGAGACCGAGGTGAGATGATTGCCTGAGCCCATGGGTTTGAGACCAGTCTGGGCAACTTGACGAGACCTCAAAAAATTAGCTGAGTACCAAAATTAGCGTAGTAGTGCATACCTGTGGTCCCAGCTACTTGGAAAGCTGAGGTGGAGGGATCACTTGAGCCCAGCAGGTTGAGGCTGTGGTGACCGTGAGCGTACCACCGCACTCCAGCCTGGGCGCAGAGTGAGACTCCGACTCAAAAAAAAAGGAATTTATACTTATGCTCATCTATATGGAATAATAATCTGATTTACCTGTCAGCGATCTGAATCCCATCCTACCACTCAATGCTCTAGCCATGCCAAAATACAGGACTGAATAACAGATCTGCATCTTTTCATGTGCTCATCCCTCAACCTGGAGCACCCTTCCCCTTTATTTTCTACCTGGAAAACTTGATTGTGCAAACTGGCTCAAATATGGCCTTCTCTTCCCTGACCACCATCTTCCAAACTGAGCATCCCCTCCTTTGTTCTCTGTCCCTCAGAGCTACATCTCTTATTGTCTTAGTAATAGCTCCATGTTTAAATTTCCCCTCCCTTTACATGTCTGAGCGCTGGTTAAGGCACATAATCTGTCTTCATCTTTGCATTTCTAGCACCTAGCATAATGTCTATTTCCTACCAGACTTTCAATAAATATTGATTGAACTGAATTAAATTGTTGAATACCCCAAGAAATGATTAGAAAAGTACCTCACTAGAAACATTTCCAGTGGGTCTTGCCTCACATGGATACGGTATTTCAGAGTTTTAAAGCACTTTTGTAGGCACTGTCTCATCTGGTTTTCAGATTTTAGATGAGGTAAGAATTTATGGATAAGCAAGGATAAACACAGTTAAGCAACTTGCCCAAAACCACACTGGTGATCTTGAAAAATTCCAGACTCAAACTTGAGTCTTTTGACTCCAAGTCTACGATTTTTCTACTATATTCCACTAGACTCTCAACCACTGATGACTCTCAATTCTGGCTGCATATTAGAATGACTTGTGGTGCTTTTTAAAAATGTCAGTGCCCGGCTTTACCCCCAGGCCATTTAAACCAGAATCTCTTGGGGAGGGGCTCTGGCATTAGTACTTTTTAAGTTTCCACATAAAGCCATGAATTTTTAAATTATTTTTCACAAGATTAATTGCTTTGGCCAGATGCCTGGGCATGATATGGGCATGGACCCAGCTTCTTCTGTGAGCTCTTGTTATCCCCTTCTTCTGTTGACGTTGATTCACCATATGGTATTGCGCATGATGTGACATCTCTTGGGGTATCCTTTTCATCATCTGTCAAATTAGGGTGCTGTGTAAGGAAGAGATCTATACAGTCCTTTCTAACTCTTAAATTTAAAAACGGAGTCTTGGTGTTGTGTGTTGTGTGGGTTGAAACGAGACGAGTGTATGAAGAAGATAGAAAGTGCTATTCATTCCACAATCACAGATATATGCAGGCATTTTTATGCATTCCTGATAGCCTGTTTCTACCACAGAGCCTATGAAATCCCAGCTCTATATATTACTTTTGACATTTCAAGCAATGTAGCTAAACTTTTTGATTAACTGGAGAATAGATAGCAGGTGTCGGGAACTATACAGCCGGTGTCTAGTATATAAGAAGCCAAAAACATTCAGAGAGTGTGATGAGGAATGAAAGCTGCCACTTATATTCTTCAATTTACAGCCCTAAAGCAAGCAGGCAAGCATATGCTCAAGCCCATTACATGAAAGGAGCTATTTGTTTCATATGTTTGAAACCGTTTTGAGATGCACACAAAGAACAGAAAGCTGCCCAGGCCTTCTTCCCACGCTGACCAGTTGCCTACGGCACAAGGCACTGGACCTCTGGACTACCTGGGACAGTGAGCTGCTTGCCAGTCCTTGACAGGACCAGTCTTAGGAGCCTCAGAGTCTCTTCCATGTGGTCTGGAAAAAGCAGACATAGAGAACGTTGACCTTTCAGCCTTGCATAATCTGGGTGCAGCTATTGCAGGGAAGTCCAACTTGAAAGCCAGGGCTCATTCCTAACTCTTGCTTTTCGGGAAGCAGCATGATGGGGCAATCATAACTAATATTTGCCTAGGACTGTTCAGTTAACAAAATATTTTCCAATCTTCCTTTACTATGATAGCAGCCCTAGGGTAAGTCATTATTATTACCACTTAATAGATGAAGAAAAAAAAAAACCTCTCATGACTTTCCTAAAATGGGTAGGATAAATAAAGTCAAAGCCTGGAGTTGAATCTAGCTCTTCTGACCCAGGACCATTGGTTTCCTCTCTTTGGCAGGAATGAACCTGAACTCCAGCCCTGTTAACATTGGTACATTTCCTTACTTGAAAATGGGGGTGCCTGGGTCCTGTTAGAGTTTCTGGACTCAGTTTTCCTACTAATTCAATGGAAAACTTGTACCTACGCCTTTCCTCCTCTCTGCCTCTGAGGCCCTTCTTCCACAGATGGTTTTAAAAATATATTGACATTGACTTTTGGATTAAAACATTTTATTTTCTTAATAGCATATCACATGTTACTACTGGAGGGCCTGTGGAAAAAAATTAAGTAACTCTTTATTGAAAAAAATAGCATATGCTCCATCTAGACAAATGTAACCATTTTATATACACAAAACATCTATATTTCTATTTCAGGAAAAAATCACTTTTAATACCATAGTGTATAGCCTTCTAGATCTTTTTGTACTTACTATTTGTCTTTTATGTAAATATTACATGAGATAGCAAGTTAATCTATATATATAGCTATCAAAAATTCATATGTATATATTATATACATATATGTATTTGAATACATGAGGGGTTAGGTGTTAGGGGGGAAACAACTTCTTGATTAGTAATGATATAACCGTTAATCTGAAGATACTGGTATGGTTTTCCAGCATTGACATTTTAGGTTAAGACTTTGACCCCACTTTCATTCATTCATTTCTTCGTATGTTTATTCATAATCTATTACATCTCAGACTCTGTCCTAGGACTCTTACATAGGTTATCATTAATGCTCATGTAGTCCTATAAATTTAAGAAAACTGAGGCCAGGCACACCTATACTCTCAGCACTTTGGGAGGCCAAGGTGAGGGGATTGCCTGAACTCACGGGTTTGAGAACAACCTGGATAACTTGGTGAGACCTCATCTCTACAACAAATCAAAAAATTAGCCAGGCAAGGTGATGCATGCCTGTAGTTCCAGCTACTTGGAAGGCTGAGGCAGAAGGATCTCCTGAACCCAGTAGATCGAGGCTGTGGTGGCCATGGGTGGGCCACTGCACTCCAGCCTGGGTGACAGAGTGAGACTCCAACTCAAAAAAAAGAAAAGAAAAGAAAAGAAAACTAGGGCTCAAAGAGGTTAGTTGCCCAAATTTTCACAACCAGTAAGTCAAAGATTAGAATTTAAACCCAAGCACATTTAACTTCAAAGGCTGGACCCCACGGTACCTGGTCCACTTTTGTGGGCGAGAGAGCTAACTAGAAGCTCAAACTCCACCAGCATGCAAACTACTTATGTAGTAAATCCCCATTTGTACCCACAACTCTAAAATAATTAAATAATAAATATTTACAAATAAAAATAATCAATCAATAAATAACAAGGACTGGGCCCAAAGCAGTGCACTGTAATAGTTGCTGTCACAGAGACGTATACAGGAAGCTGTGTCATCCGGAAGAGTGAAGGGATACTCCATGACCTATGCAGCTCTGAGTTGGGTAGGGGATATCAAGTGAGCCATCAGCAGGTGAGGAATGAGCAGAGCATGTGCAACAGGGCTGAGGCATGTTTCCAGGAATGACAGAAGGTCCACAAGGCTGGCACTGAGATGAGACTAGAGAGGCAGATCAATACTAGGTCAAAAAGGGCCTCACCCACCACCCCGAGAGCAGAAACTTTACCCTGTAGTCACAGTAGAACAGTGTGGTCACCTCTGTGTTTTGTTTGTTTGTTTGTTTTGTTTTGTTTACTTTGTTTTGCTTTAATCAGGGCCTCACTCTGTCATGCAGGCTGGAATGCAGTGGCACAATCAAAGTTCACTGCAGCCTCAACTTCCTAGACTCAGGCAATCCTTCCACCTCAACCTCCTGAGTAGCTAGATATACAGACATACGCCACCACATACAGCTAATTTTATTTATTTACTTGCTTACTTATTTACTAATTTATTTATTTTTGTAGAGACGAGGCCTTGCTATATTGCCCAGTCTGGTCTCGAATCTGCGGGCTCAAGGGCTCAAGTGATCCTCCCTCCTCGGCCTCCCAAAGTGCTGGGAATATAGGCATGAGCCACCATGCCCAGTCACATCTGTGCTTTAGAAAATCAACTTTGGTAGTTTACTGGGGGTTCAGGGGTGGGGAGATCAGTTAGGCTGTGACAGCAATAGGCCAGATGAGAAAGTTTAAGTAATTGGCTGGAGAAGAGGAGAAACAGATTTCCAAAATATAGGACTCAGAATAAGTAGGACTTGGTGACTATTGAGTACAGTATGAAAGAAAAGCTGAATGGTTTAAGTTCAGGCTAGGGAACTGATAGGTGGTAATACCACTAACAGAAACCATAAATGAGAGCAGGAAACAATCAGGAAAGAAGTAAAAGCCAAACTTGGGATGTTTAATTTCAAGGTCCCTGGATCTTACAGGCAAAGCGATCTATTAGACAGATGCCTGGCGTGGTGCATACTGAACAGTAGGTCTTTGACCAGCCTTGGTCATTCTGCCTCATTATTGTATCAGCCAAACTTGTGTGTTCTGTAAGTTTTGTTGAGTTTTCCTTACTCCTTTTGCAATTCTTTAAGGGTGCATTATCTCTGATTCATACAGAAATGAGTTATAGGTTTCCAGCCCTTTTATTAGAACACCTTCCAAGAGAAAGAAAATTTTTTTTGTTCTTTCTTTCTTCAAGATTTTGTATACTTTGCTTCTACAGTGAAATACCTCTTTCAACAGGTTAAATCTATTTAAGGCACTTCAGATTCCATCAGTGAGTTTAAGTCTCATACCAGTATTACCATGTTATTATTATTATTTACTTTTTAGAAAAGGGAATCAGGAATTTATGATAGTTAAATGAAGTTGAGCTGAAGAAGCATCAGCTTTTACCTAATTATGAAAATTACATTCTCAACAGTAACATGATAAGCATTAAATGCGGTATTTTCTGGAAAAGTTAAATACTATTATCTAATTTTGAAATTAGAAACACTGACAGAAACCTTAGAAGTCATCTATTTACCATCTTCCCATATTCCAGACTGAGTAAACAAGGTCTGGAGGGGGGAAAGTAAATGCAACAGGCTAGGGGCAGAGACAGGTTGAGAACTTGTTCTCCTGACGGCTGATTTAAATTAATGTTGGGGCCTGTGTTTATGAATATAAGTAGATTCACATTCGTGTCTTTCAGGTGGCTGCTTCTCTATCATGCTCTGTGCTTCTCCCTGTCAAAGGCTTCAGCCCACACTGTGGAGCTCAACGATATGTTTGGCCAGATCCAGTCACCTGGTTATCCAGACTCCTATCCGAGTGATTCAGAGGTGACTTGGAATATCACTGTCCCAGACGGGTTTCGGATCAAGCTTTACTTCATGCACTTCAACTTGGAATCCTCCTACCTTTGTGAATATGACTATGTGAAGGTGAGATTCCCTAACTGGCCAGCTCCCTGCTGGTGTTAGAGAAGGCTATATGAATTAGACACCATCCTTACCTTCCCAGGTGGTGTGGAATGAGGGAGACACACGTTGCAGTGTGACGAATGAAGGTCGAGGGCGGTATGCTAAGTGCCAGCTGAGTGGGAAGAACTTGAAAAGTCCAAGAGGGAAACTGAGGCTGGTGAAGTGTGACTCAACCAAACTCAACATCCTTCCTTTGTGTTCTTAATAAGCCTTTATTGTTTCTACTAACCTCTGTTCCAAGGTCATCTTCAATTCAAAAAGCAGAAAAGGGCAGAACCTTCAGAGTAAGCAGTAACCAGATAGAGACTGAGCCATTATTATATGCTAAGTTGAGGCACTAGAAAGCATTGCCCAATTTTCCAAAGACAGTAGGAGATGAGATTGGAAGGGTGACTTGAGGTGAGATTCTTAAAAGCCTTGAATGTCATGCTAAGGAGTTTGCATTTTATCAGCAAAGGAAGCGGGCTGAAAGAGGAAAGTCACTAGCAGAAGTGGATGCAAAAAATACATGGGGGGAGAGCAAGAGAGAATAACAACAAACAACATACCCTGAAGTTTAAAGAGAACCTCCCAAAATTCCAGGTGGGAAGCTGCTTCTTTTCTTTTCTTTTTTCTTTTTTATGTGTGTGTGTTGGGGTCTGTCACCCAGACCGGAGTGCAATGGCATGATCACAGCTCACTGCAGACTCTTCCTCCTGGGCTCAGGCAATCTCTCTGCCTCAGCATCCCAAGTGGCTGGAACTACAGGTGCACGCCACCACATCCAGTTAATTTTTTTTTTTCATTTTTTGTAGAGACAGGGTCTCCCTATGTTGCCCAGGTTAGTCTTGAACCCATGGGCTCAAGCAATCCTCCTGCCTCAGCCTCCAAAAGTGCTGGAATTACAAGAGCCACTGCACCTGGCCTGTTCTTTTAAAGTGGAATTGAGAAAGGTCAGAATATTTTTGAAAGATCAAGTTCATTAAAGTTGTATGTAATTCAAAAAGATGTGGAGACCTAAGAACTTCCTTTGCCAGCTCTTTCTCTGGCTTCCTGGAAGCAGTCCTCATCAAGCAACTCTAAGTAGGTTTATGCATTTTTAATGTTACAGTAATCTCATTTGTCCACAGCCAGTAATTCAATAAGAGTTAACCTTGTATTAAGCAGAATATTTGATCCATAGCAAAGAAGTTTACAAGGTGCTTTTACACCCATTATAATCTCATCCATGCTTTAAAGCAATCCTGGGAGAAGAACTACTACCGCTTTTCACAAGCACAGAAACAAACCCAGGAAGGTTAAGTAACTCACCCATGGTTGTACATTTGGTAAGTGATAGATCAAGGTCTCAAACTCATGTCTTGTACTTTGAATCCCATGCCCTTTCGGCTGCACTCAACAGTTCACAAGCTGTGCTCATAAGCCTTAGGATATGGCAGAAGCTTGCAAGTACCCCTGAAGAGGAGAGAGGGGAGAGAGGCCTGGTAAGAGAGTCTGTAGCCCTCTACTGTGATTCAACTAATTGTAAATGTAGGATGTTGCCATTGTATATGTTAGGTCTGCAGGCAATATCCCATTTACAACAGGTCCCTGCATCTAAAATTTTTCTGAAATCAGTGTTCCATGGTAGATTTTTTAATCTTAATACTACTGACATTCTGTGCTGGATAACTCTTTGCTGAGAAAAGCTGTCTTGAACATTGTAGGATTTTTAGCAATGTCCCTAACTTCTACCTACTAGATGCCAGTAGCTGCTTCCCCTCCGGTTGTGACAACCAAAATTGTCTCCAGACACTGTCTATATCCCAGAACCATTGTTGAATGGGGTGATGCCCCTCGAAGAATGTCCTGTGCTAGGGATGATGGGACTGCTAAGATACAAAAGATCTGGTCCCTTGCAAAGAGACATGAGCCTAGAAAAATATCCATTGTGCAAGATAGAAAAGAATAATGACAATAAAGGACTGACAGATAAAGAATGAAGAGAGGTAGAACCGGTTGCTCTAAGAGATGATTTGAGTTGTTAATCAAGATACAATTTCTACAGATTTGTTAAAAGTGGAGTCAATGTCTCAAGATCACAAGGATCAGTCAGGGGGTATTCCCTGAGACCTTAAGTAGGTATTATCCTAAACTGAATTTTCTGAAAACAAGTTTAGTTATGCCTTCCAGGATATAATCTAGCCTCTGCAAGAGCCAAACTCCAGGATAAAATGGATTTATATGTATGGGTCATTAGGTTAAGAAGAATCTGCCACCCCATTCCCCAACTTATGGTGGTCAGAAAACCATGGAATTCTCTGATATTTGGGTTGGAGAGTAGTTTTAACCAGAAGGAAAATGATCTAAGATTGGTTTAATATGACAGTGAGTTCCATAAATTTACACAAGGCTAGATATAAACTTCCTAGCCATTTTTTCTCTCTCCTTTCCAACATGTCAATCATAAAGAAATTGTTTTCTTTTTTGAGTCGGAGTCTCACTTTGTCACCCAGGCTGTAGTGCAGTGACATGCTCACGGTCACCGCAGCCTTGACCTGCTGGGCTCCGGCAATCCTTCCGCCTCAGCCTTCCAAGTAGCCGGAACTGCAGGCATGTGCTACCACTCCCCGCTAATTTTTTGGCATATTGTAGAGACGAGGTCTCACCAAGTTGCCCAGGCTGGTTTCAAACCTCTGGGCTCAGGCAATCCTCTCGCCTCAGCTTCCCAAAATGCTGGAATTACAGGCTTGAGCCACCGCGCCCAGCTCAATAAATTTTGCCAGTGCAAACACTTGCTTTTATTGGTAGCTAAGGCTCAAGATCACCAAAATTACAGACTTTTTTCCTTAGGTATAGCAATGACTTCTCATAATTCTACTCTCTCTCCACCCCCAAGAATTGACTCTCAACTTCATACTCATTGAATCATTCTTTCTCATAAGCTCAACTCTTGTTCAGACAGAAGATAAATTTAACCCTGTTAGGACGTCTTTATCAAGATGGCAAACACACAAGAGACAAACACACTCTTTTTTTGTGTGTGCCCTAAATAAGTCACATTTCCTGGCAAGGCAGATGAAATAGCTGACATAAGCAGCATTTTCTCAGTGGAAAACAGTGGCAAGGTACTTTTCAAGGGCAACAATAAAATCTGAAGACCAGCCATTGTCAGGCCATTACAGCTATTGCCAGACCATCACCGCCATTGCCTTGCTAAGCTATCGTGTGGCCATGTGCTCTTTGAGCTATGGCCAGGCCATGTTTCCTGGCTTTGGCCCCCTTCCCTACCTTGAGAGATGAATCTTCTCTCTCTCCCTCTCTTTCTCTCTCTCTCTCATTTGCTTTCTAAATAAACTATATTTTCTAATCTAAAAAAAAAATCTGAAGACCTCTTCTGATACTGAATTAAAGACACTGGAATATATTTCTCTCTGAAGATTGGTCTTCCTGGCTAGAGAATATTTTGGAAATTGGTTGATGGTTTCTATCCAGTCTGATAAGACTCCTTCCTGAAACCCCAAGTAGATGACTTGAGTCCTCTAGACCTGGACTTGAGTTCTTGCCTGGGATTCAGGAAATGCCTTTTCTAGTCCCAGATTTGTCACTAACTTTCCAAGTGTCAAAGAAAGTGGCCAAGAAAATCCTATACCACCCTCTCTGGTAGATTGGTGACCTCTGGGCAAAACAAAGAAGCAGTCTATTTGAGGCAATGGAGGTCTTGAGCTATCTACCTGAAGTGCCCTATAGTCCTTACATCTATCTGTGAGTCAGACATATTCTTCCAGTTCCTTTGGAAAAAGAGATTAACATGATGGGTGCAGAGATATATTTCTCCACTTGTGCTTGCACAGTCAACTCTTCTAGAACGCCATCCTAACATCGGTTAGGTTCCAACAGCCTGGGGCGTGAGCAGGCTTCCCTTTGCAGGACTCCACACCCTTGTTTCCTCACAACTGGTGCTCATGTGGCAACAGTCCTGTGTCCTTGCCACATACACCTGGTGAGTTTCCCTCCTAGAGTAGAGAACTCACAGAATGTCAGGCTGCAGGAACCCTCTGAAACCTCATCTAGTTTCAAGTCATTTTTTAAATATTTTCTCCCCAGTGAATGTTTTCTTCTAACAAATCTTCAATTAGGCTCGTAGAGAAAACAGAAGTGGAGCTGAGTTGCTCTGGTTGAAGGTGACTCTGTTTGCTCATCTTTCTTGGTTACCCTGAAGCACCTTGAGGAAATATGGCTTAAATTTTGCCACTCTGGTCAAGTTCCCATTGGACAGAAGAGGAGACTGAAGGTCAGAGTTCAGAGACAAGACAAGCATTCTGTCTCTGAAATCCAAAACCCAGAAACCTTCCACACTTACTTGAAGCCTATTTACTCTTTCTAATTACCTCTCCAATCCCAGCCCTGAGAGTATGTTTTTTTTCTTGGCTATGAATGGAAGATTAGTTCTTTCCTTTCTATCTGAATAAAAGTATGAATGAATTATAAGATCCCCAGGTAAAATCACAGTCCTCTCCAAAATTTTGTTTTGTGCACCAGGTGTGGTGGCTCACATCTGTAATCCCAGCACTTTGTGAGGCCATGGTGAGAGGATTGCTTGAGAATAGGAGTTCAAGACCAGCCAGGGCAACACAGTGATACCTTGTCTCTACAAAAAAAATTAAAAATTAGCCAAGTGTGGTGACATGCGCCTGTAGTCCCTGCTACTTGGGAGGCTGAGGTGGAATGATCACCTGAGCCCAGGAGGTAGAGGTGCAGCGAGCTGTGATCATGCCATTGCACTCCAGCCTGGGCAACAGAGTGAGACCCCCAACTCAAAAAAAGTTTGTTTCTTCATTGTTCAATGAGAGATTGGAATGAGATGATCCCTAAATGTTCTTAAATTCCAGAATTCTAATCCCAATCTTCCTTGCTAGGACTTTCCATATGATCCCAATTAAACCCTCATTATTCTAGTCAGAATAATACCAGAAAACAGAAATAGTATGTTTATAACAGTC